ATGAAGGTCAATTCTGGAAACTGTTCTTGCTATAAAACAGAAATAGACTCACCATGACTCACCAACCATATAAAAGTGGTTTTGTTTGCAGGATATCTTAGCCAAGAAACCCTCATCAGGTGGGTGAATGGAGTGTTGATAAATGTCGATACGGATCACGGGATGCAGACTGCACTGTGCCGGAGTGTCCCTGTGCAGTGTCCAAGCTGTGAGTCCTGCAAGCTATTTCCCATATGCGAACCATGGTGCTGGTATATTTACCTACATAACTGGGTGATTTTGTTCGGGTAAATGATGGTAAATATACCAGCACCATGGAGTATCTGAGTTTCTGATAAGCACACTGGATCCAACCTACAAAAAAAAACCGGCGGGCAACACCCAAACCAGTGGTTGTACGGGACCCTTTTTTTGAGGTGTCCAGAAAAACGTCCTGACTCGCTGGGTGCTTTGAGTTGTCCGTGTCGCCATGTCGTCATAATTGGCACATCAGTGTTAGCCATGGCAAGTTTGTGATCGAAATAGGGCCATCTGATTTTTGATACTTTTATGAGAATACAATGTGGGATGGGTTTTACTTGTCGTTACCAGCCACGTACACATCAGGATGGTCAAATGAGTAGGGTAGACCTCCCCAATGCCACAGTAGGAGAACAACAATTAATTGTCAAAGGATTGAAATTGGTGATATGGAGGTTTCTTGAAATGGTGGATCCCTTGGTCACCACGGGTTTCAATACTAAGTTTGGATGATTTGGCGGTACCCCCATTTTAGGAAACCTCCATATGAATCTGAAACATTGGAGTTCAAGTACAGACTCCATTGAAGGTGCACATGTGACATTGAGCTGATCCATATATTGGAAATCAATAATAAACAATGACACGTACATGTTGGTCCCTTCAATTTGAATCAACTACCGTTTTTGATCCATTTTGATCCATTTTGGCAGGTGGCGCAGGTGGCTTTGACTTCCTAACACTGAAAGCCATGAGTTTCTGCTAATTTTTGGAGGCTTGTTGTGTGCCCATCATCCTATGGCAGCTCGCCGCAAGAGGGCTTCACTGTGAGACGCTTGGTTCTCGAACGAAGCCGGTAGGGCTCGACAAACCGTGAGAGCACCACACCCAAGCTTGGTGGGAATTTCATGGTATTTCATGGTATAAATGATATTTAGTCATTTAGTGGTGTTTCTATCAAAATATCATGGAATTTCTTTGGGATAATTGGTATAATAATGGTATTATAATTGGTTTTTTTTATCGCCAGACAATGGGAATTCTAATCCCTGGGAATACGAAAAAAATGGTGATTTCTCAAGGGATTTCACCACTATACACGGTGATTTCATGGTGCTTCACTTCCAAAATGGTGCTCTATGCAGCAAACTGTGAGACAAATCCCCCATGGTGACATCCTTTCAGGACAGATCCCATGGGTCGCATTCTCAGGCGAAATCCTAGGTCTGTGGTGAAATCCAAAAATGCTGTCCCCGAATATCATATCTGGTTGGTGGTGCAATAACCATGGTTAATAGTGATTAATAGTGGTTATTAGTGATTAATACCGGATCTAATGAATAATATATCTGGTTGATGGTTTCATGGCTGGATTATTTTCCATTTCATATATGGGATGTCATCCTGAACCCATTGACGAACTCCATCATTTTTCAAGATGGTTGAAACCACCAACCAGGAATGTTCTCCAATTTTCTGGATATTGCCAGAGTTTCACAGATGCAACTGTCGCCAGAATTCGATGAGCCTATATGATATACACTCTACTGTACTGGTCTCGAAGCCCTCTAAGAGGGTTTGACATGTTTTGACCCAAAAAAACAGGTACACTCTGGTAAACTAACATAGCTATTGAAAATGGCCATTTATAGTCGATTTTCCCATTAAAAATTGTGATTTTCCATAGTTATGTTAGTTTACCAAAGGGTACCCCTAAACTCAGTGGTTATCATTGTCACCATTTTCCACATTTAGATGACCCCCCAGCAACCTGATAGCCGTTTTCACGGTCTCCGAAGAAGCCCTTCCATGCGGCAGCCCATCCCATCGATTTCCGAAGAAGATGCGATGCCGCTACAAAGTCCAAGAGTTGTTATTCTTTGGGGTCAATGGTGGGTTTGCTTCACGCACATTGTGCTGAAAACTTGTGTGGAATCGGAAAAAAAAGCACAAGTTCAAAAAGGGAAATTATGTTAAACACAATCATAAAATATTATAAATAACAAATAAAAATAATAACGTTCAGCATGCAACCTTTTACGGCTGTACGGTTCAACAGATGTATACTACCTGCGACCTTTAGACCTTTCCGCTGGATTGCATCCAGGATATGAAGACGCTGGATTCAAACTCTCTAAATATCCGGTTAATATCCGGTGTGTATCGGTTTGTAATCTTTTTTAAGGGGGTGATTGAGCCCCAGTGTGGAGGAAATATGTCCAGTTCTGAAATACTTGGAATCTGAAACGGGCTCGTTGTTCGTTTGCACGTTTCAGGTGTGGTTTCACTTGGGTTCAAATCCCAAGAATTCCCCTTAAGGAAAGCGCAAATCATCAGCCCATCTGTAACTACTGTAACTGAAGATACCAGCTGCTGGGAAATTCTTGAATTGGGCAAAATGACAATATCATCAGCACCATCTGAATAGCCCAAGAAAATGCTAGCCTGGTAGCCCAATTGCAGATTTTGCACCCCCACCCGGGATGATTCGAACTCCTCATGACGGCGATGTTCCGATGTTTCAAGGGTCTAGTTAAACTAACACTGATCAGTTATTCTGGGATAGATTCTGAACCCTGAAGCGGGCAAAAAATGGCTAAATGTTCATTGTTGTTGCTTACTATCCACATGTTTATTGCTTCAGCCCACCCTGTTTGCTACTTCAACTCAACTCCTATCTTGCTGATGGTTGCATGTTCATGTTTCTTGGTTGAACTCCACATGTTCGATTGGTCAACCTCCACTATTTTATGTTGGCTAAAACTACTTACTGGTGCTTAGTAGGAAATGAGGGAATGATCCATAATCCCAGCAATCCCCAGCAACCCATCCATTCCCTGCGTTTAGCACCAGTAGGACTAAAACCTCATTTTTCTTGGCGAAACTTCACAGATCAACAGGCACTTCTCCCGGACCACGGCTGTTCGCTGAGAGGTGCTGTTTGCCGGATCTTCCACCAGAGAGTTGGTCTTCAGCTGGTGCCTTTGGTGGCATATTCTAGGACGCCCCATATCTGGTTGGTGGTTTGGAACAGTACCTCTGGTAAACATACAAAAAACTATGGAAAATCACCATGTTTGAATGGCAATGTTGATGTATCAACATCTGGTTGGTGGTTTGGAACCATGGAATTTTATGACTTTCCATATATTGGGAATAGTAACCCCAACTGGAACCATGGAATTTTATGACTTTCCATTCAGTTGGGAATGTCATCATCCCAACTGCCGAAGTCCATCATTTTTCAGAGGGGTAGGGTCAACCACCAACCAGATATGGAGATGCCAAAACCGTGCTCCAAAACGCAACGGTTCAAGTCTTGGAAAAGTGATTTCGGACAACTGGAAAGATCGCATGATCGCCCTCTCCTGGAACTGTTTTTTTAACAGCCCAGTGACGAATGGGAACATGATAAACCCTAATGATCATTAAGATCTGGTTGGTGGTTTCAAACATTGTTTATTTTCCACAATATATGGGATAATCCTTCCCATTGACTTTCATATTTTTCAGAGGGGTAGGTATACCACCAACCAGTAATGATCATTAAGATCATTTTATTGAAAACATTGGGGTGCCCTTGGTTCATAATAGTTGATAATGAGTAATAATCATTGGATAAATGGATTAAGATTTTGGCTGATAATTGTGAATATCATACTCCTATGACTCCTATTGGACATACAATGGAATTGTTCATGATGGTATCCCATAGGAACATCACCGGAATGGGAGAATCATGGCATTTTTCATGATAACAGAAAAGGATAAACAAAAAGACATCCCCGTATACTGGAAATATATTGGACAGAACAATGGGGATATGTAGACTTAGTATCCAGATAAATTATTCTATCCAGAAGTTGTATTTGAATATTTTTTGGGGATGCAATTGGGGTTATGAATGGGCGATATAACTATGAAATTCTAACCTCCAGAAATTGGGATAAAATCACAAAGAATCCCTTCAACTATAACCCACTTATTAGATGTTCTTAGCGGAACCGCATCCCCAATTAATTAATGGACATATAATGGAGTTGATCGGGCGTATAGTGGGAATATAACTGGAATCGAATATTCATGGAATATGATCGGTAATAGAAACGGAACAATCCCATCCCCAGTTCATAGTCCCAAATATGTGATTTGACATCATGGTTTCCGGGGAGTGTTTAATCTTGCGGGGGGAGGATCATTTTAAGATATTTTAAGTATCTGGAGATAGTTCCAGAAACTGGAGTTGCAGTAATTAGGATTTAAGCGACCAGTTATGTTCTTGTTGCATTTTTTTCCGTGACACTTTGCGACCAGTTGTGTTCCGTTCCAAGCGATCCAAGCGATCCAGACAATGATCGAGTCACACCATCCAGCCCAGACCAAGCGATCCAAGATGAGATGAGAAATTTCTTGGCTACGACATTCGTCATGTCAGCCAAAGCATACTGGATTGATGGACAGCATGATCGGTTTTCAATTGAGAACATGTTTAACCACCAGCGGCTAGCAGCTTTACTTTTGAAGAACGATGAGAAAGAGGCTGTGGAACACTTTGTTACAGCCGTTGAGGTGAACGATCCCGAGGAGATCATGGCTCAGGTGGGAAACATGCGGATTGCCCCCGCTGATCGGGCCAGATCCCCACCACACTCAAACGTTGCAAAGAGCCTAAAACCACTCCTGTTGTAGCATCACGTTCCATTTTTGCATCATTTTGAGCCGCCATCGACTCAAAGCTATGACCCACCGGGATCGTTCAGGTTCCTCCTATCGCTGTGCCAGCGCCGGCGCTTGGTGGATCTGGGTACACGAGTTCTAGGCCAAAGTGGGGCAGCCCAGTTGCGCAGCACAGCTCGATGATCCTCCAGGGATCTGTATACCCTCTGGTAAACTAACCAAAAACTGGTTGGTGGTCCATGTTATATCTGGTTGGTGGTGCAATAACCATGGTTTTTATTGTGATTAATAGTGGTTTTAACCATGGTTATTAGTGATTAATACCTGATCATCATTTTCAATGGAAAGATCCACCATGTTCTAGCTGGGTAAATCCACTATTTCGACTGGGCCATGGCTTCAATAGTTTTTTGTTAATGTTTACCAGAGGGTAGTCTGAAACTGAAGCACCGAAATTCGAATTTGGATCAGCTTGGTGAATTTGAATGGCAATGTTGATGTATCAACATCTGGTTGGTGGTTTGGAACCATGGAATTTTATGACTTTCCATATATTGGGAATCTCATCATCCCAACTGACGAACTCATAATTTTCGGAGGGGTTGGCTCAACCACCACCCAGACATGTTCTGCGTTGTTTTTTTAATGTGTCGGAGAAAAAAAGAGAATTTAAGTGATTCAAGCGACAGAGGTTTCGGATGTCGACAAGCCAAATGGAGGTTTCCAATTCATAGGGGTACTCCTAGTTCTCATCCTCCGCCTAAGCCCATCAATGCGCAAGTTAGTCATGGCCAAAACGGCCACCATCACCAGGTTTGACGGCTGGACATGTCGTCAGGTCTTTGAAAGTTCTGTTTTCTGTGCGTTTATATCTGTATGTGTACCCTCTGGTAAACTAACATAACTATGGAAAATCACCATGTTTAATTGGAAAATTTACTATAAATGGCCATTTTCATGTCTGTATGTGTACCTTTTTTAATTGTATATATGTATATTTCTCATTATTTCTATATCTGCATTCAGAAAAATGTTTATATCTACATATTACATATACTAAAAACACCAGCCGTTGAAGAAGTCCATTGACTAAGATCTGGGTTCAGGAAGACCTTGCCACTGAGGTTGGATATGCCTTAGCCCTGGGAACCCGCTGAGCAAAGTCCTGTTATCATCAGTGATTTGGCCTGAATGGGTTATGGGAAATTGACTAGTAGCCACGAAGTAACTTTGGGGATTTCACCCATGGACATGATATAATTATGATTAGTTATATATATATGGAAATATATAAATGTGGAATATATATATATATATATATAGAATATATATTTATATATGGAATATATATATATATGGAATATATATATATATATTCCATATATGAAATCTGGGACAATATATGGAATTGTTCATCTTCATCAATTGAGCAGTGTTCAAAACCTCCGTTGGTTGATGATGAGTTTCGGGACTATGCTGATTATACTAACCACATATATTGGGGACTACGAAAAAATCTGTGGAATTTAAGTGAGTTAAAGCAACCCCTTTGTTTGGCGTATCTCTTTTGGGAATGGCTAACGGATAACATATCAAGTGATATCCACTAATGTTACCCTCTGGTAATTTAACATAGCCATGGGGAATGGCCCATTTATAGATGGTTTACCTATTAATAGCATGGTGATTTTCCATGGCTATGTGAGTCATAACCAGATGGTAGTAAAGCAATAGGATCCACCATCCCCAAATTTGCTCATTTTTTATGGCTGAGATTTCGACATTGTTTATCCATATGGCTGGTTGATTATTGATTCACAAAAATAATCCCACGGAAAAGTGTTTATAACATTTAAAGACACCCCAGGGCCAGGAAGTTCAAGTGGATTATCTCATGGGTGAACTAACTATGGTTACCCTCTGGTAAAAACGTTTACATAACTATGGAAAATCACCATTTTTACTAGGTAAATCAATGATAAATGGTCATTTTCAATAGCTATGTTGCTATGTTAGTTTACGAACTATGGTTATCAACACTTATGAACCACAAAAATTCCGCAGATCCCATTTCCGATGGTCCCAGGTGAAACAAAGCGCCTTCGCGCACTTCTGCGGAGGTGAAAGCCTCGAGGCACACTTTCGAAATGCCCATGACATGGCCTCATGGCCTCGTTACAGTGTGACATAGCCATGGAGCCGAAAAGGCCCTATTTATCAATAGAATAACCCCCAATTCCCATGACGGATCCATGGTTTTCTGTATATATGCTAACATGAATGGGGTATATATTGATGATCCATGTTACCATATATAGCATACATGGATCCTATAGGATTATGTATGCATGATAATCCAGTGACTAATCATGTTGCATGATCACCGTCCATTTTTGCAGGAGTTGCCCTTTGGTTATTCAACATATAGAGCCTGAAAACAACCAATTTCCAGTGTAAACTAGTCTTCGAACTTCCAGCTTCAACCCCCAATGGCAGGGTCTGTGTGATTTTTGGGGGTGGGTCTGTGTGGTATCCCCCCAGTTTTCTTCCTGTCCCAGACGACCACAGGATTGTGTTGCGACC